TTGCTATAATAAATGTATGTGTATCAGTGTGGTTGATTAGTCAACAACGCTTCCTTATCTGAAACCAGCAAAAATCTATTTATAGATGAAAAAGACCAGACTCAACATGGAGATTAGTTGAAAAATGGGGTAAGGCAACCTTGACTTCCTTACTAACTCGGCACAGTCCCAGGCTGATCTCTATCATGCAGTGGTGTCAATAGTATACACCTTTCTTACTTAAGTAGAAGTATAGATATTGCAGTTTAAAAACATTTTGGTAAAAGTATCAACTTGACCTCTTTACTAAAGTAAAAGTGCAAAAGTTTGCGCTCCAAAAACTACTGAAAGTATAAAAGTATAAAGTAAACTTTAAAAATAATTTTAAAGCTCAATTTTTTGACAATTTCCAAAAAAATTTTGAGATAGGGCCAAGAATGAGGGAGGTCTTGTTGGTCTCCGTCTCCTGATACGCTCTCGCCTGTGTCCGACCTTTCAGACATTTCAACATCTTTTTCTGAATCCGAAATTGTAGCATGGCATAGACAATTCACGTTTGCAGTTTGAAGAACACCTGCTTGCTTCTGATGATTTCCTTTAGTGTCAGAACAAATTTGACGTTTGCATTATATGACTCATCCAATTACACTAGTGATCTGCACTGGATGGAGGACATGACGTGAAATAAATATTTATAAACATTAAACCGAAGCCAAGAGTAACGAGTAATGATTGTTTTAAAAATGTAAGGAATAGAAAGTATAGATTCTTGTGTGAAAATGGAATGAGTAGAGACAAATAAGTAATGGAGTAAAGTATAGATACCTCAAAAGTGTACTTAAGTCTACTTGACACCTCTGCTATGATGCAGGGCTGTACTCTATTTTTTGGATGACTTTCACTTCCTATTTTCAAGCTGCCACCATGACTTATATCATGACATTCATTTTTGTTTTATACAACTATTTTTATTGAGGCACTATTTTAAAGTCTGATTTAAAAAAAAGCCCCTTGACGTAGATTTGATGTTAATTCCTGATGTTACAGTATGAATACACAGAGAAACTCCAACAGTCCAGACAGGGACCGTATGGGTCAGGGCACCACCATTTTGAAATCCTGCATCAGAAGTGCATATTGGCTTATTCAGCCATTTCCATTAAATGATTTAATTTAAAAACGTATATAATTCGAAGATATTTAAATTTCAACAATTTTTTTTAGATAAATGGCACCTGTCGGCTGTTTGTCTACATGTCCCAATAAAGTTCTGTAAAACAAGCAGACAAAAAAAAAAAAATCTGAGATATTAGAGAAAACTTAAACCTAAAGTCAGTAGATTTAATATTTAACCTAATTTAATCCCCTTCACAGAGAGATAATCCTAATCTTAATTTTAAACCTAAACTCCCTGGATTGAAACCGACTCCATCAATTTTCCATTGGGACTGACTTCTGCCTGTTGGGACAGACCAGAACTGACTTCCTGTTGGTATTTCCAGCATTGACCGAAAAAATGTTAGCATCCTACCTCTGCAGTATGCCACTTTTAGCAGCTCCACACCTCAGATGGACTGCTGTAGAGCATGCAAAGATTCAACAATGCTAGTATGTTTCCAGTACTTATTTGCATCATTTGTAACAAATTAACCTGACATTAACAAAGACATGGACTTTGAAAGAATGACAAAAACATCTTCCTCTTACCTAAAAATGAATGATATACAAATCCTCTGGCTTGATCATATCTCTGCTTATATTTAGAGGCTTATAAGCGAATCCAAGCAGTTTTAAAGTGGTTATAGCATAATAGCACATCATGTTGGAACCCATCTATCACATCATGCTCTGTTATTGCAGTATTTTTCATAACAGAGCAGTCTCCAAAACAGCATTGAATCCATATACTATGCGAGTTGGAAATACTTTTTGTTTAGGCCACAAAAATCTTTTCCTGTAAAAGGTTTTGCTTCCACTCAACTTTCCATATATGTATTTGGATGAGTACTCTGTAAACAGCTTATACGTAACAGTTAAATGACCTCCCTGTTTCCTGGACTGCTGTTTAGTCAAGTATTCTTTCTGTGATTGTGTTGACCACATATGTGACGACAGAGAGACATTTGTTTCTCAAAAATAAATGTTTCTTTTAATTACTAATTTTATTGTTATTGGAGGATTTTTCTTCAATTAAACGCTAGATTATAATAAACTTTTCTAGTTTCAACTGCTTTCAGGTTTAAACAATATAATTAAGATTTTTTTTGTAAATTACTAGACTAATATCACATAATAAAAAATATAAAAATTCAGAAGTATGCTGTGTTTTAAGCGATGAGAGACTCTAATTTTTGGACAACAGAGTACACAAATCCTGTGGCTTCATCGCTTATAAGTGAATCGAAGCAGCTTTATAGTGGTTATACAGTATAGCGTATAATAGCCCATCATGTACACTAAACCACACGCCATGGTCTGTTAATGCAGTATTTTCATATCAAATGACCCCCAAAACAGCATTGAATCCATATACTATGCTGGTTGGAAATACTTTTTGTTTAGGCCACAAAAATCTTTTCCAGTGAAAGGTTTTCCTTCCACTCAACTTTCCATATATGTATTTGGATGAGTACTCTGTAAACAGCTTCCATGTAATAGTTAAATGACCTCCCTGTTTCCTGGGCAGCTGTTTAGTTTCTTTTAATATCTAATTTTACAATAATTGGAGGATTTTTCTTCAATTAAATGTTAGATTATAATAAACTTCTGTAGTTTCAATTGCTTTCAGGTTTAACCAATATAATTAAGATTTTTTTTTCAAATTACTAGACTAATATCAGATAATATAAGAGAATAAAAAATATTAAAAATAAGAAGTTGACATACACCTACTTAGAACTGTGTTTTAAGCAATGAGAGAGTTTAATTATTGGACAACAGAGTACAGTCCTGTGGCTTGATCATATATCTGCTTATATTTAGAGGCTTATAAGCGAATCGAAGCAGCTTTATAGTGGTTATGCAGTATAGTTTATAACAGCGCATCATGTAGACTAAACCACATGCCATGCTCTGTTAATGCAGTATTTTCATATATCAAATGACCCCCAAAACAGCATTGAATCTAGGGCTGCAACTAACGATTATTTTAAAAATCGATGAATTGGCCGATTATTTTTTCGATTAAACGATGAATCGGACAAAAAATATTTTTTATACTAACCTCTTTATTCCAAAATAAACATTTTAGACAGAACAAACAAGCACACAAGTACAGGTTGCTCATTAATTGTACTCGTGCAATATGGAAAAAAAAATGTTTGTGTTAAAACTACGCAAACTTACATGAGAAATGTAGCTGAACATCCACAAAATATAGGGTACTTTGTTTCATAAAGCGCAAAAAAAGACATTTTTGTTTTTAAAAGCCCCTAAGGGGCTCAAACAATAGGTCCCCCCATTTCAACAAATGAGGTTTTTTTAGACTAGAAGAGTTCTGCCTTTTAAGACAGGAAAGTATAGCAGTTAAAGATGCTACTTGAGAAAATACTGAACCATAGAGATAAAAATAGCCCTGTGATTCAAGTTATAAATTGTATTTGGAATAAAAATGAGAGAACTAGGGGTGCTAAAAAACACATCCTCCAAAGACAGATATTTACATGGCAATGTGGCATATAATTAATTGACATATTACTGATCTTGCTGGATTTTATTCTGCTTTACTTCAATAAATTGCAGGATCTTCTTTACTTTATCTTTGCCAGAAGATTTAAACTTTAAAAGCCTTGCCCTCATTATTTGCAAGTTAATTTATTTATAAAGGCTATTTTATTTATTGTGATCAATTTGCGCCGTCAATCCCGGCGCATTCGCGCTTCATTTGCAGTCTGGACGCTGAGGGTAAACATCCTGCTGGCTCTGACAGCAGCGCTGAGAGGGACTCCTGTGGGAGAACGGGGTTGGGATGGGGGAGGCGCCCCCACTCTTGCAGGACAAGAGTAGGAACCATACATGCTTTCACGTAAGAGTCTCCAAAAGCCGCCAGTGACACCGTAAAAAGTCGCCAGATTTGTCGCTAGTCGCTTTTTTAAAAAATAGTCGCTGGAGGGGTCTGTAAAGTCGCAAAATATAGCGACAAAGTCGCTGAGTTGGCAACACTGTGCCCTGCAGCGCTGGCTCGCTCTGCCGTAATTTTTTTTTCTTCCCCCGTTTCAGTCAAGTGGCAGTGATGACGGCGGCGGCGGATGACGCATTAATCGCGCGACACAACTAATCGATGATGAAATTCGTTGCCAACGCTTTTAAAAGTCGATTTTTATCGATTTTATCGATTTGTTGTTGCAGCCCTAATTGAATCCATATACTATGCTGGTTGGAGATACTTCATGTTTAGGCCACAAAAAGCTTTTCTAGTAAAAGGTTTTCCTTCCACTCAGCTTTCCATATACGTAAGTATTTGGATGAGTAGGCCTACTCTGTAAAAAAAGCTGTTTAGTCAAGTACTCTTTCTGTGATTGTGTTGACCACATATATGAGACATTTGTTTATATACAAAATAAATGTTTCTTTTAATTACTCACACATTAGGTTTTGACTTCTTTTTTTTTTTTGAGAAACGAGATTGGGCTATCATTTGCAGGAAGATATTCATTCAGTTCCTAGAAATAGTTCACATGGTGTCCAAATGCATCAACATAAAATATGAGTTTCACTTCATTTTAATAACATATTTATTGGGAGGTATAGATAGATAGATAGATAAGGGAAAGTGGTTCATGCTTGGTTCGTTGAACGATTATTTGCAACTGGAGCATGCAAACATACTTAAAATATTATCTCTAATATTCAGCAGTTTGCTTTATACAATGTCATTAGAAATAACCCATGCTGATTTCACCTTACAAAGGGGAAGTCGTGTTGTTTCTTCTACTGTAATTGTTCAATGAGCCCGTTTGGCAAGCGGAAGAGGTGAGGAACTGGGTGAGGGGGAGGGAAGAGAAACAGAGAGGGAGAGAGAGCGTAAGTGAGAGAGGAAGGGTGCAGGACGCGCTCCATCAACACAGCTTCAGGCTCGCCACACCGGACTGTCATCCGTGGAGCGCACCGTCCGCATCCAGAGGCTCCCTGGCGCTTTTTCACCTCTCCTCCCATCGGGTTTCCAGTCGGGCTGCTCTGGCATGGGTCCGATCTGTTAAAAAAACAAGGAAAAAGAGAAAACGGCTTGAGGTGTAACCGGACCGTTAGCAGTTTGATTTCCAGGTAGACCTGAAACAAACGCGCTCCGGACGAAGACAGAATAATGATGGAGTACTGGAGGCAGTGCGCGCTGTGGCTGATCGAATGCAAGGTGCTCCCGGCTAGCCACAGGGTGACATGGGAGTCAGCGCAGGTATTTGACTTGGCTCAGACCCTCCGGGATGGAGTCCTCCTGTGCCATCTGCTCAACAACCTGAAGCCCCAGTGCATCAACCTGAAGGAGATCAACCTCCGACCACAAATGTCACAGGTAAGAGACGTAATCCCCTCGATGCCCCTGCCTCCACTGGGCGTCAAACTCCACTTGAGCCGCGATGATGTCAGTCTGCCGAACTCCATAAGAATCACAGTCTTTTATACATTTTGTACATTTTCTGAAGTGAGGGCACTATTTCGAAGCGAAACTACATAAAATCCAATTGAAGTGATTTATTTATAGCTTTCGGCTTAATAATTTTGAGAATTATTCTTATTTTAAACTATTTTATTCACACTTTTATTTTTCTTACCGCATACAATCTGTTGCCGGAAAACACTTGAAAACAGACGCCTTTAAGTAATTAAGAATGGCGTTTTTTATTAATTGCACTTATTCTTTTGTGCAAATCTACTCCCGAAGGGAAGGGGGCCACATCGAGATTAGTTCAAGCAAAAAAGTTTTGTTATTTTACTTGTCTCTCGTTTGCAGTAAGAGGTAAAGCATAAACTCGATAAAAGCTGTATGACGTTCGGTGGGATAATTACCCAACTTTCCAAGTTTGCAAGAATACAGCCAAACAAGATAGTCGGATTTCCCTGATTGTTACTATTCTTAACGTGATGTTTAAAGTAACAATTCACTAGTAGAAACCTAATATACTTTTATATTATACATTAACATTTAAGATGAAACTTTGTAAAGTAGGGATCCTCCTTTGCGCCCTCCACACACCCACACACCATTTCCACCCAAACTTGCTGCCCCCATGATTTTGTTTTCTTTTTCTTTTCCATGAATGATTAAGAAATGCTTGGACAAAGGTTAATGAAATGTAACTTTTGTGTTGTTGTTCCATTTGCAATGATAAAATTCCTTAAGTCCTGTGAAGAATAGGTTTGGTTGCACTTAGTGGAGCCCTGTCTGACCAAAATTGTAGAACCTTTGGCCACATCTTGACTGTATTTTAGATAGATAAATGTGTAGATAGATAGATAGATAGATAGATAGATAGATAGATAGATAGATAGATAGATAGATAGATAGATAGATAGATAGATAGATAGATAGATAGATAAATGCATATATAGATAGATGAGTTGTGGCCATGCAGATCCTGTTTGTCAGATACCATCTGCTTCAATACCAGTGCATCCTGAGCCGGGACCTGATTAATATTCGCCTTTCTAATGGTGAATCTGTCTGTCTGGCTTCGTGACAGCACACAGTGAAGTAGACACTCACCTACTGAGCCTGCAGGCCTGCTGAAGAGTATTACACTCTAACAGCATAACACTCCCCACTCACCGACTATGCCTTTGTAACAGATAAACCTAATGTTCAGATTTTATTCAAAGCAGATAATTAAATCCATGCATACAGTTTGGTGATGTTTCTCACATTTCATCAAGAGGTGCATCCATCCCACTTCCTGGAAAGAAGCAGCATAGTGGCAACATTCAAAATCAAATTGGGTCTCTGTTACTTGAGCCTAGTGCTCTGGGCGAGTGGACAAATTAAGATTATGCCCGGGTTTTAAATGTCATTGGGCTGAACTGGATGTCCATGTCCATATTAGGATGTTTACTCTGAAATTTCAGTCAAAACAAGATAGGAGTCTATTAAGCCCATTTGGTGTCATTGTAAAATTACACAGACTTTACTGTAGGTACAGTATCTGTGTCAATAAAAAGACATGGAATGTTTTGTGTCAACTTTAATATAAAAAAATGTATTCGAATTTTCATTGGGTGGGTGGTTGATGAATGAATTAGTTTTTTATTGGCAGACATTTTTAATGTCTTTTTGATTGCATAGACTTAGACGGATAGTTCAGGATGTTTAAAGTTAGGTTCTGCTTAAATGTTATAAGTTGATCTCTAACCTGCAGTAGATAGCATTTTCTATGTCCTCGCTTTAATATAAACTCAGGTAAGTTGGACCAGAGGTTGAAGCTAGGTCACAAGTGGTTAAGACCAAGTAAGACTTTTGCCTTAAAACAACTCATAATCCATAAAACAGTGTTTTTGTTTTTAACAAGAAATGGATGTAAAATCTTTGGACGGATTTAGGGCTGATGGATTTAAAAAAAATAAATAAATAAAATCTATTATTTTAAACCAATATTGCAATTGCGATTTTATTTTGATTTTACTATGCATTTAACCTGACTCAATTCCTCAAGTTCAATTCCTCTTAACGCGCAACTTTACCAACAAAAATGTTGCTAACACCTACCTAACCTGACTCCGCCAGATGGATTTGCTCCGCATATCCATCTGGAAACCTTCCGCTGAAGTAATTTAGGGAAGGGGCGAAAATACGGGTTAGCTGATTGGCCTATTTTGGTGATAGACGGGCCAAATAAACCAATCAGATCAATGAAGCATATGACGTAACAGAGCGACGACGAAGAGGAGCCAATTGCTGGATCAAACTCTTGCCGAAACCAGTCGGGAGAAGAGCAAAAACATCTTTTCCTCTGAGAAAAGCCTCCAGAGCAGTGTTTTGCTCTTCTTTCAGTGAAGAAATACTCTGTAATTCCGATAAAACTTGCTCGATAGCCACGCTAACGCTAGTTTCATCGGCTGAAGCCGCCATGTTCTTTAGACTGAACTGTCGAGCTTTTCGTTGTGTCACACCTCAACCCGCCTCAAAGCCAACACTGATTGGACGTTCGTTTGGTGAACAGCTCCAAATTTTCTTCAACGGAGAGTAGCCAGACTGATTAGCAAGTGAAATCTTGAAAGCTCGGATGGTCTCACGAGGCTACTATGCATTAACCAATATCATCAAAATGTTTCACTGCAGGGTTTCAGTTTTTTCATGACATGGAAAGCTTGCTTGTCCAGAGTCTTTTGTTGCAGGACTTTACTATAACGTTTTGTCAAGAAGTGATAAATTCTACTTGCATGCATGCATCTGCATTTTAGCACCTCTCTCTTCCCATCTGTGTGGTTGTGAACCCACTATAAGCATATTACCATGGGTGGAATACATTTAGCAACTTGCTCCTTTTAAATGTAATATGATCAAAATTGATTTGAAAATTGCGTTTTGTTGAATTGAGATTATATTACCAATGCAATTAATTGCCCAGCCCTAGATGGAATATACAGCATTTCTGGTCCTCGCTTTTTTCAGTTGTGACAATGCATCTTGGCAATTAACCTTACACTATTTACAGACCTGTTAATTTCCTTTTTATGCCACGTTTGTAGAGGAAATGCCACTGTGGGGTGTGCCAATTAAAAAAAAACTTTCCAAATCATTTCTGCCAATGGCAAACTAAAAAACTGTGATGATTTGGCAAGGAGTTTCCCTCTTTTGAAAAACAAGCCCACTCATCACTGGAGGCAATCTGATCGCAGAGACATATGGAGAGGAAATGTTGCAACGTTTTGCAGTCCCATATCACCGCTCTGTTAGGCACTGAACTTTATCCTAAGATTTCGATGCACATCCTCAAAGAGGACGGTTCATCAGACATTGCAACCAAACCTGTTAAACATTTGAGGGATCAAGTGTTCTGTTCAAGCCAGATGGTCAATAATGCCAAAATATCACAAATAGCCACTCTATTTTTCCAATATTTATTTCAGAGAAGGATTTTTTTTACAACAAAGAAATAATGAAATATTCATTTCTATGCTCATTACTTTGACATTACTTTGACTGGAAAAGCAAAATGTTCTGTTTTCAGTACCTGTTTCATACAGGAATATGGCTTTTTTGGAGAACTGAGTTTTTTTTCACAATGTAGAGGTATGCTCTGATATTAGGAACCTTTTAAATCAGCTATTCGTAAACTACTCTAGATTTTCATTGAATGAGTCATCTACTGCAGGTAAGACATGCGCTCATAACCTTCTAAACGAAGTTAACTTCAAAAACGTATCCCTTTTTTTACCCATTAAGAAGCTACAGTAATGCTACGTTTATACTAAACGCGATCAGAGCTGCAGAAGCAGCCGGTTTACATGCAAAATAGGTGCATCAAACGGTCCTGCAGCGCGTCTCAAGTGGCACATCTTGTGAGTTTTTGCGGCACTAGTGGCTTGTTTTTTCAACAGTAGCAGTGTATTCTCATTATGAGTTCATATGAAATCGTACGAAAAGTTATGCACCGTAATTTCGTACGTTTTGGACGTTTTTTTTTTCGTCGTATGCGCATGCGCATCTGACGGACCATTCACGAATTTAGAATATAAATAACAATTAGCCCTAACCCTGACCCTGTACCTAACCATAAGATATAAAACAGCAAGCAACGTAGTTAGAGACATGAATAAGTGATTATTGCACCGTTTTTCCCATTTTTACATCCGTCTGCGGATCTGCTTTTTTTTTCTGTCTGCCAGCGCATGCGCACTGATGTGGTTTTTTGAGGAAATACGTCCAAAACGTACGAAATAGTGTGCATAACTTTTCGTACGATTTCATAGGAACTGATAATGAGAATATGTTGACAGTAGAGTGACAGGAAAAGGGGTATGAGAGAGGGGGAGAGACATGCAGCAAAGGACCACAGGTCGGATTCGAACCCAGGCCGCCCGCGCTTCGAGGATTAAAGCCTCTGTATGTCGGTCATGCGAGCTAACAGATGCGCCACCAGCACGCCCAGGAGTAGCTCATCTTGACGCATCTAAGGATCTGAAGCAAATTCTAGAGTTAACAAAATTTTACTTGACACCACATCAACCAATCAGAGAAGCTGATCTGGGACCTGGCATGGGGTACAGACACAGAACTGCTGATGCATAGAGCTATGATCACTCCTCTGAAACTGTTAATTAGCATCTAAATTAACTTAAAATATCGAAACCTGCCGCCAAATTATATGTTTGCTTTTAGTATTATGGTGCCTGCAGTTTGTACCACATACCTGAAAAACGCTAACGTCCACTTCCAGCCACAATGTGGAAAAAACCCGAGAGCTGACCGGGCCTGAGGTGCTGCTGGTGGGGATTCCTAGTGACAGCACATCACCGCTTTGTGGGGAGGGGGGACGGCTGCGACAATATTTCAAGGCAGGATCGTAATCTTGATGAAAT